TGCCTGCCCTTCCTCAGCCTGATTGATCATCTCTCCTAGCATTTGCACAACCTTCACTTCCAGCCAGTCTCTGTGAGTGTGAGCCAGCCCAGACTTCACGCCCAGGGACTCTGAACGCTGCTTCCCTCCCCAGTCCGCAGAGGCTCCCCCTTACCTTTGTCTTTTGAGGTGCAGCTCTGTGTTCAGCCTGCCCTTGGAGCCTCTGGGAACAAGAAATGCTGGCGGAGGTCCCCAAGTGTCTGTACAGGGCTGTGTTGCTGGGGCGGGAACTGAGGGCTCTGATTGGGATCAGCACAGAGGAAGCCAGTTCCTCAGCCCCACCCGGCCATTGTGTCAGGGGCCAGTGTGTGTGTGTGTGTGTGTGTGTGTGTGTGTGTGTGTGTGTGTGTGTGTGTGTGTGTGTGTGACAGACAGACAGAAACAGACAGAGACAGAGAGATAGAGAGACAGAGAGATGTGAAGGGGGATTGGAGACTGGTCTCCAGGTGGATGTTTACATGTGTATTGTGAGTTTCTGTGGGTCTCAGTCCCAACTGCCTGTCTCACTGGGATTGACTGGATGCAGGTGCCCCTGGGGGAGGGGGCGAGGGATGGATTCGAGGATGTATGTGTTCCTGGCTTTTCTTACCTTTAATGTGTTCTTATAGTTGAGAAACCTAGTAAACCCAGTTCCCAGAGCTGGGAGTGTGTCGAAAAAACACCTGAGGTACTGGAATAAACCACACCCTGGCCTGGGAAGGAGAGTGATGGATTGAAGATCCTAGGGCCTGTTACGAACTCTGAAGGCCTTTGTCCACAATCAAGGGCCTGTCTTTCTCAGACTTGTACTCTGTTTCTCTCTGTGTGTCACTTTCTCATTTCCTAAGAGACTGGGAAGAAAATCTAGCAGGTTGGCATTAAATTATGGTTAACTCTTTTTTGTTCAAACTAAAAGCCCAAGAATTCCCCCCCACACACACACAAGAAGCTTGAATTCAGTACTATCCCTGAGCTCTTTTGCTCAAGGCTAGCACTCTACTACTTTGAGCCACGGCATTACTGCCAGTTTTCTGGAGGTTAATTGGAGAGAAGAGTCTCACAGACTTTCCTGCCCAGGCTGGCTTCGAACCATTGTCCTCAGATCTCAGCCTCTGAATACAATCCCTAGCTACTTCCCTCAGGCACATTTTGTTTCAAAGTGTTGGCACAAGCTGTGCCTTCCTGAATAGCTAGAAGTACAGGCTGGGATTATAAAGTCTTGCCTTCATACTCAATAGCTGCTAAATAAATCTTCCCTACAGCCTACACTCTTACTCAGGCTTGAACTTAGGGCCTGGGTGCTGTCCTTTAGCTTTTTCGCTGAAAGCTAATGCTTTAGAACCTGAGTTACTGCTCCACTTCCAGATTTTATTTTTCTGGTTAATTGGAAATAAGAAACTCACAGACTTTTCTGCCCAAGCTAGCTTCAAACTTCAGTGCTTAGAACTCAGCTTCCTGAGTGATTAGGATTACAGGCATGAGCTACTGGCACCTGACTACATTGCCTAATTTTCTGCTTAGGCTCTTTTGGAGCTGGATTTCCATCACTGCTGAAAAAATCATCATTACAATTTATTCCCTACTGAAGAACTGTCGAGGGGCCTACAAATTTGGTTTTGAGGGGTTGGGGATTTTTTTCTTTTCTTTTCTGTTTAGGATAATTGTGCAGAGCTAGGATGAGCCTCAATTTAATGCTTGCCTAGCATGCTCAAGGCCTAGGTTCATCTCTTAGGTTCATAATTAAATCATATCCCTGAACACATTCCTGGAAAACAAAACCTTCCTTGTTCATTTGAAATAGTAACAAAGTAATCTTAGTAATTACTTAGTAATTACTCCCCCCCTCCCCTAATTAGTTTTGACTTAGCTTGGAGAGTCTTTTCTGGAGGGATGGAGTTCTCTTGTCTACTTCCTCTCTACAGCCAAATCAGTAAGCCTAATGCTCTTTCCATTTGCCAACTTCTGGTGGATCTCAAGGAAGTGAGCTGCAAAATCCCAGATAGCAGCCTACAGGTGTCTAGGTCTCAATGGCAACCATGGGGAATAGCAGCAGCAGTGGGAAAAGGCAGGACTGAGAGACATCTGTCATCTACCCTCAGTTGGAGGGGGTGGCAAAGTACAACACCTGGAAGGAGACATAGGTGGCAATCCACGGGTGAATCTAATATATCACCAGCCTCCTCAACAAGCTTGTTATCTACCAGTTGAGCCACGCATCTTGCCCAAATAACAGAACAAATCTCCCACTGATTGGATTCTACCAGTGCAGAAAACTGTGTGTGCATTTCTGCCTAGCTTCTTTCAGCTTTTTTTTTTTTTGGCCAGTCCTGGGGCCTGGGCACTGTCCCTGAGCTTCTTTTGCTCGAGGTTAGCACTCTACCACTTCCAGATTTTTCTGTTTATGTGGTACTGAGGAATTGAACCCAGGGTTTCATGTATGCTAGGTAAGCACTGTACTACTAAGCCACATTCCCAGTCAAAACCAGCTTTCTTTATATCCATCTAAGAAAGTAAAGTAATTGCTTTAAGTGTTTATGTTAAGGTGTGTCAAATCATCACCTTTAAAATAAGTATGTAAAACTAAACCACCATTCTTTGCTGTTTAATATTTCTGTTTCCCACATATTTAAGCTACCTTGGATACAGAGCTGTGCTTCTGCATTCCTCATTGTCAAAAAGGCTTAGTGACAGCTATAATGGTTTTTGGTATCCTGAAGTACTATATACAATTAAAATAACAATTTTTTAAACCAGTTTCTGTTTCAATACTCTCATCATGGCTATTTTTGAGTTTTGCCTTTACTGATTTGATCTTCTGTAGTAATTATAGTCAGACCCACAGAGGGACAGATGACTTTTACAAGTTTATCAGATTCAACTTTTTTTTTTTTTGTCAGTCATGGGGCTGGTACTCAGAGCTTTGAAGTGCAATCCTCAGATCTCAGCCTCCTGAGTAGTTAGGATTATATGCATGAACCACCAACACCCGGCTCAAATTTAGCTTTGCTTCTTAGTAAATTCCAGGTAATCCCTGCTTAAAAACTATTTCTAATCATCTTCTTGTTAAAAGGGTCTATTGGCACAGACTCTCACCTGACCTGTCAGTCTCCCCCTCCAGTGTGGGATTTGACCAACTGATTTGACCATCATCCCAACTGGGACATTATCCCAGCAAGGAGAATACACCTATCAGTCCTACTTGGACAAAGCTCATCCTTGCAACAAGGGACCATCCAGAGATAGTTGGAAGAACTGCTCAGCTAAGAAGGGATGGAGGTGGGGCTGGGAAGGTAGCTCAGTGGTAGAGTGCTTGCCTCACATGCATGAGGCCCTGGGTTCAACTCCTCAGCACCACATAAGCAGAAAATACCAGAAGTGGCGCTGTGGCTCGAGTGGTAGAGTGCTAGTCTTGAACTGAAGAGCTGAGGGACAGTGCCCAGGCCCAGAGTTCAGGACCCATGACCAAAAATAAAAATGGGATGGGGTCAGAGCCTGAATGGAGTCACTTGTGCTTGTCACTCCAAAAGTAATTAAAGCTGGAAGGTCAAAGGAGAACAGTTTATAAGCATGCCTATCTAATGCCCATAATACCTGTCTACCTTCTAACTGGACAGGAGCTTATATCCTTGCTTTTCTGATCCTAGAGTCCAGGTAGTTTGCCTTGGTACCTTCCTGGGTCTCCCATCCATACCTGGAAGATATCTATAGCCCAGTTACAGGAAATGATTAAGGCCTCCTAACCAGACCCTTAACCACTCCAATCCAGCCCTAGCATCTGACTGCTAGATTTGTACAAAACCAGGCTCCATACAATATCTGGTGATTATTCTCAATTAGTCCACCAGGCTCTCCCTTAAGCAGTCACCAGACCTGCCCCCCAGTCTAGTTATATGGAAATCCTGCCCTGCAATGGACAACAGGGTTTGTGCTCCAAATGAAACTTTTCTGGCTTGTGAACAGACTGTGTTCTCCTGTGTCTTTCCTATCAACCAGTCCCGCCACCTTGTTAGCCTTTTGCCTGATCTCACAATCCTCCTGGGGAAGAAGCTCTGCTCATCAGGAGGCCTCCCCAACATTCTTGGCATTCCCTTGGCATTCTTGGCACTACTATTGCCATTCCTCTATCACCCATGCCACACTCAGTCCTCAGAGCCACTGGTGTCTGAATGTCACAGGTCCAGCACCCAGGGCTGATCCAGCAGGGTGCAGAGAATGTCACAGCCCTCATCTAATCGGCCCTAGCCTTATAGCCACAGTTCAACTCACAGTTGTCCTCCAGAATAGACTGACTTACTCACTGCTTGCTGCAAAGAGGAAATGGGTACCTTTTTCCAGGAAGAGTGCTGTTTATATGCTAATGAATCAGGAGTACTCCAGGAAACCCTAACTCAATTGCAGAAGTGTTTCAGGGAGGAATCACTCCATCGGACATCCTGGTGGGATCTCACAATAGTCCCTGGCTGGCCCTTGTACAAGGACCCTTCACAGTCACCCTCTTACTCCTCCTCCTTTTTGTTTCCCTAGTCCTGAGGCTTGAACTCAGGGCCTAAGCACTGCTCCTGAGCTTCATTTACTCAAGACTAGCACTCTACCACTTGAACAACAGCACTGCTTCCAACTTTCTCTATGTGGTACTGATGAATCGAACCCAGGGCTTCATGCATGCTAAGCAAGCACTCTACCACCAAGCCACATTCCCAGCCCCTTATTACACCACTCTGCCCTGTCCAACATAGACCTGGAACCTGAAGACCCCAGGAAGTAACCGAAAAAGACTACAGCATCCCTCCCTCAATTCCCTTTTTTTTTTTTGTCAGTTATGGAGCTTGAACTCAGAGCCTGAGGCGCTATTCTGGAGCATTCTGTTGTTTTGTTGTTTGTTGTTGTCAGTCCTGGGGCTTGAACTCTAGGCCTGGATGCTGTCCCTTAGCTCTTCAGCTCAAGGCAAGTACTCTACTACTTGAGCCACAGCGCTACTTCTGGTTTTCTGGTGGTTAATTGGAGATAAGAGTCTTACAGATGGATGTTCCTTCCAGGGCTGTCTTTGAACCACAATCCTCAAATTTCAGCCTCCTAACTAGCTAGGATTACAGGCATGAGCTACTGGCGCCTGATGTCTCTCAACTTCTTATATCCTTTCGAGATCTCAAATGATGGGAATCAGCTTTGTTCTCATAAAACCACATTGCTCACGTGGCCTACTGAACATTCCCTCCCTCC